TCAGTCAATACAACTGTATGACTTAAATGCCTTGTCAAACCAGTTCAATATGGTTCTTGGAACTTACAAGTTTGACTAATACAGATTGAAAAATGGGCATTAGAATTATATACTTCACAGACCCGATCAATTTGCTCATCAGGCCATGATCTATATCACACAAAAACATGATGAGAGAAGGCTCTTCAATCTATCAGGATACAGTATCATGACTACTAATGGTCAAAAGCAATATTCAGACAGGACAAATTGTTAACTGTGAAGGTAATTAGCAAACAGAACAATTTCACATCAGCTCTCTCAGAGCCAGTGTGTGTGTATCATCATGTTATATAAATTTCTCTCTCATGCTCCTAAAGTCTAAATGCCCCAAATTTAATGAAAAAAAAAAAGTACCAAAAGCATATCCCACCCCAAGAAAGTCAACAAAAACGCTATCAGATATAAAAAGGTAGCCTCAAATAAGGTTTTCTCCTCTTGAAGCAGTTGAGGAATCCAGGCACCCTCATTCAGAAACACATAAGTAAAGCTACTTCAGATGCTAGCAAAAAAGGAAGAGATAACCCACTCATTACCCCTATAAGAGGCTGGGCTACAGTGAGGACACTATCTTGAGGATCAAAGACTGAAAACTGTTTTAAAAGGGCACTGAAAATACCCCATGAGGGATTGCAAAGGAGCTGTAATTAGAATGACTACAGTATGAGAAGTGCAGGCCTTGACCCTATTTTCTGATTTTATTTTTTTCTTTGCAAAAGGTAAGCCACAGCACTGTAGATTCCTGGAGTTTCCCAAGTCCACTAAAAATCAAGGCAAACTGGACTGCATCTGTGTGGCCTGCTATAAACTACTGTCTTTAGTGATGCACAATGAACTGGGAGGCTGGGGTAATGCCAGCCACCAGGAGAACTAGAAAGGACAAGCAAAGTTTCCCTCTAATGTCAGAGGTAAAGAGATGGAACTATTCACTCAGATAGAGCTGCTATAAGAAAGGCGTTGACTGCTGAGCATGGGAGTTCTCAAACAAGGTTGTTTTGCTCATATGCAAATCCAGAGCTCAAGGACTAGTGCAGTATGAGTTTGAGTTGACCCAGTTATGGGTAGAGGAACAAATTGCCCAGTTCAAACCTGTGGGACAGCAGATTATTTACTATTGGGCAAATTTTGCTACAAATTCAGAGGTCAAATCTCTCCCACAGTAACAGAAAATATAGCTGTATCACCTTTTCAAGTGAGGGAGAAACTACTCCAAGCTACCTTGTTTCTACAGACAGATATACAGGAGCATACACCCCTTTTCCACCATAACAAGATACCTGTTACCCTGCAATAGCTTATTCATTTGTCCATAGCCCAGTTAAATCCCCCCCCCAGACATTTCAGAGAGCTTCTGATCCACAGGTTTTAATTACAAAAAGTAGGCATTGTCACACACCTCTAACCTCTTACTTGCCTGTTGTATGTTCCAGTCACTACAACTTTTTTCAGGTAGCTTTGTTAGTTCGTAGTAGTCTGGACCTAATTGTCCACAGCACACACATTCTCCAGTTCCTTGTAGCATAGCAGGTTGCTCAGTTTGAGCTACAACTATCTATATGCAAGTCTCCTTACCTCGATTATGCTGCAAGAGGACAATAGTGGGATTGACGATTGTGGTAGAAGGATAGGCAGAGGCAGATTTGCTGATTGAAGTGATGGAGGTTGGATAGTCAGTGCCAGTGCCAGGCTGGGGCACTTCATTTAGCACAGGACTTGGGTCCTGAAAAGAAGAGCAACACATCATTAGTAACATGCAGAAGGCTGCTACACTGGGAAAATCTGGGGAAAATCCCAACATTTTAAGCTGAAAGAGAAGCATAATCACAGCAAATTTTAGTATAAAAAGCATAAGCACGAGTGTTACCCTGCTCCTTGTACATACCCTGCTTGTTGTTAATGGAATTAGTTTGCTAAGGCGGTACTATAATTATTTGGTGTTGGGTTTCACAACTCCAACTCCAAAAGAGGGCACTAAATTCATCTAGCAGACTCTTTGGAGCAAACACTAGGTGACAGAAATGAGCAAATCTGGTTGGGGGAGAAAATGCAGACATCTTTCCCCTGATACATACACACACAAATATTTTTGTTCCAAAAGTATTCCTTTCATAGCAAGTCAGACATGCAAAACTCATGCAGTTCTGGAGTAAAACATTATTACTGCAGATGGTTTGGTAAGGAAAGTCTGAGAAGTTAGCATCATCACTCAGGAGACAGCGTGATACCTACCTGATTAAAAAAATGACATAACAAAGCCCCAAAACTGATAGAGGGTAAAAGGTAGGACTCTAGCAAGGGAGATACTTAACATGGCTTTGCTGCTGGAGCACAGATAGCAATCTGTTCTTGCTCTCCTAAAGCATCCAGCTCCATTATTTGCTTATTTCAAACCCACCTCTGATATCACCACAGCTCTCACTATTCTGTAGAAATACAGGCTGTGTCAGCAGGGAGACTTTGAAAGCTAGCTCATCTTTGAAAAACCTCAGTCCAGGGATACTGGGCTTTGAGTGGTGGTAAGGGGAAAAAATAAAGAAGGGATGATGACTAAGACCGTGTGTGTGCCAGTTTAGACTGAGATTGTTCAAAGCTTCTTAAGGAATTTGGACAAACAATTACTGTTAATGGGGAATGAGCATCCAAACAAAGAGAGTATGGAACAGTGGACCAAATTCCTGCACTCCTGCTGCTCCACTGTCAGAATGAAATGCTGCAAGCCACTGATCTGTAAAATCAGCTGAGCATTCAACGGTACCTTCATCACTATTAAAAAAAACCCTGAATATGCACAGAATATTGCTCCAGAAAAATCCCTACTTCTGGCTTTTCTGGCCAAGTGCAACTGCAACTCAGTGCCCTTCATACCCACCAGCATCAGAGGAAAGGACTTACAGCATCAAGCAGGGGGCTGAACAGGGGCCAGAGTGAGGTCTGGCACCAGAGCTCAGACATAAATCATAGTGAGAATTGGCCATACTCAGAACAAGAATCTACAGTCTCTCCAACCTAGAGGGGAAATGGGGAAAAACAATCTTGTTCTGTCAGATGAAGGTGATCTTGGTCCAAGCAGCATCTGGTCAGGCCACAGACATTTCATGGGGACAGAAAAGAATCAGTGTTCTTCAGAAATACGTGTTCCCAAGAGAAAGACCCAGCCCCATTTTGCTGACTGTGATAATATTCCAAACTGTGCAATTAGGAAAAAGGAGCAAGAGGCGGGGAGAAGTATGAGAATTGGGTTTGAGCTTCACTTTGATAACTAAAATACAAAAAGGAATCCCTCAAAGCAAAGGGATGCTGGCTCAGGATAGGCTCAGGAGCCTCAAAAAAGTCACCAGAGTGGGTGAACAAAGACCATTTATATCATTGTGGAAAACAGCTCTGTGACCACATGCATGAATTGAGCATGTCCAAAAATTTTTCAAAACTCTCATCTCAAGAAAGTCAGATACAACAAAATTTCCAGTACTCCTCTACGATTTGGATGCCTCCTGATTTTTTTCTGGAGCCTGCAGATAGGGTCCATTTAAAAAACAAACAAACAAAACCCCCCAATCAAAAATGAAACACCAAACCCAAACTGATTACTCTCTGCAATAAAACCACCACTGATTTTAACAAAAGTAGAAAGGTCAATGCTGAGAACTTTTGAAAATATCCTCAGTTGATTTTTTCTTTCCCCCCTTCCACATGCCTGTTTGCTAGATCCCTACAGAGCCAGAGGGCAGACCAACCATCATGAGAGAATGGGATTTCTGCTGAACTTCTTCCTTGTCCTTACAAGCAAGCATATTAAAAAAAAAAAAGGTGGTTTTAAGACTTCCAGTGCAAGAAAGGTTGTGTACTTTTTGCCTCCTCTGCAACTTTAACTGAGAGCTACTTTTCCTCCTTGTCCCTGAGGACTTTTTAAAATAGTTGAGGTGCTGAAAGCGGAACAAAACCTAACTCAAGAAGAACACAGTAAATTCCAACTGTTGTGGACTGAATTCTTCAAAATTTTCAAAGACAAGCAATTCCAAAAAGAAGAGCACCTACATGCTTGGAAGACACTTAGCTCAGTAACTCATAACTTGTAGGTCATTGGATACTGGCAGCAATCTTACACTGATTTCATCAGGGATTTCTGTAGACACCATATGGTCTTGTGGCTCCAAGTGGAACAGAAAGCCAGTCCTAACCTTTAACTGGTCTGCTGTTGCTGCTTTAAATGTTATTCAAACACAATTAAGGATGCTATTAAAAGAGCCTGAAGAGATCGGTTAGTTGCAGCTATTCAGTTTATACAGAATCCATCATTCTGAGCAAATCCTGTGAAGATTCTCATGGTGTGCTTCACCTGGCAGAACGGGCACAAAGGGAGCCAGTCAAATGTTGCAAGAAGTCAATAGAAAGTTCAAAGCTGCACAAGGCAGGCAAAACGCATGCACTAGCACAGGACGCAAACAAGGTTTCAGTTGTCATGCTGCTGGTAGGGAGTGAGTCATCGCTTCTCTCTCAAGTTTAGTATTGCAAGGAGAAAGTAATTTTAATCTGGGAATACAAATTTAGGAAAAGGGCGAGGAGGGTACTTGGCAAGCTTACTGTATGTGAGATGACTCCAGTGATTTCAGGCTTCAAGCCCCTGTGCAAAGCCCCCGTGACTGGAGGGACAAGTGAAGGTGGTGATGAGAAGAATGGCAGTTTCGGGTAAACAGAGGGTAATGTGCCAGATGTGGAAGGTGCTTGGTTATGGTGGGAGCCCCTCTGGAGATGTGGGGGAATGAAATCGTCTAAAGTTGGAAAAGTCAGGGGTGAGCCAGGAGAAACAATCTCAGGGAATGCGGAGCCTTGCCCAAAAGGAACCAGAGGCGGTGGTGGAGTGCTGGAGCTGCTTTCTTGTTGTCTGTCTGGATTAACCTGGAGGAGGGGGACTACTATAACTCCAGGCTGAGCTGTGGTGGTGGCAGTGGCATCCTGTAGGAAACAAGGTGTTGTTATGCAACGGGGGAGGATTGATACTTTAGTTGAATGCAGCCATATAGTGTCATGCAAGGAATGTACCCAAAATGATACAAAGCCCCACCAGATTTTCTTTCCTTAGGGAGACATTCAGGCTTGCAGCCCTGGCCCCTATGAACATATGTTTTTCCACAAAAATCTTCATTCCCCTCACCACCCTTCTCCCATTCTGTGTAGAAAACCACAGAACAGGTCTGCATTCACTATCACTTGAGAAGCACTAGCCATCCCCATACAGAGTTTGCTTCTTTTACACCTTCCTAAAATAGAAAGATCCTCACCAGCCCAACCCAACTCCCTACAAACACCACACACACACAAACACACAGATCAACGTCGAAGGGGCACGCATGGGGTGTTAAATATTATCGAGTAGAAGATCGCAAGACTCAGGCAGCACAAGAAGTGCTCAGAAATTAGGTAGGAGGGGAATAAAGCATTAAGGGAACATTGTAATGAATTAAAGAACTGTTCACACGGCTGAAAGAAAACAAGGTTATGGAGAAAACATGTACCATGCTGCGTCCCATTGCCTTGTATGGTGGCTGTCGCTGCTGAGTAAGGTAAGGCTCTTTTCTCATCCTGTCCTCTGTGGCAGTTGTGCTCTGGGGCTCTAGCACTCTGTCCCTCACAGCTTGCAGAGCTGGCGACTGAGTCCGGGAGGGTTGGCTCGCACCATAACTAACTGCGTCTTTGCTGAGGACAATGTAAAAGGATGGCCTGGGAGGAATAGGAGGAGGAGGAGCAGCAGGAAGAGACTTTTCAGTGTCTGTTACAGAGGAAACAATGTTGGTGGCTGGTGCCTGAGTGAGCTCAGCGCCCAAACTGGTGCTGGCTGCTGGGTCATGTGTGGTGCCAGCGGAATTTTGAGATGCGGCTGAGCAAGTGCTGTTAGATAAACAAGCTACATATAGTTTGCTGACCTTTTTATCCGCCTTCGTCTCATGACTGGAATTCATTCCAGCCTTACTACTGGGATCTGCCCTGTCAGGGTTGTGTTGTATAGATGATGCACCCGACGAGGAACGACTTTCCAAGAGTGGCTGCCCAGCATGCACCTCGTCTTTGGGGCCTGAAGAGGGAGAATGCCCTGCTGGCAAGCCTTGCTTCCCACTGGGGATGGCCCCATAGGGGGTAGGTGATGACAAATAACACCGTGCACTGGCGTTTGGTGATGCACGCTGCGTATAAGGCTTGGGTGCATTCAGGTACACGCAGTCCATGATGGGCACTGGCAACAGGTTGGTCGCTTTAGTGTCAGTGCGGGGACGCCATGCAAAGCTTTCCTCTTTGGGAAGAGGAGGACGGGGAGGAGCAAGGGCCTGCCGAGGCAGAATCAAGGAGGTAGAAAAGGAGAAAGGAAGCATCATCAAATGAAAGGAAAAAGGAAGGAAAAAAAATTAAATTCTAAGAATGAATTTGATCATTAGACTTGGGTTAAGCAGGTTTTAATACAGCAAGAATAAAAAGCAAATACAGTATCTGGAAGGCCAGTGCAGAACTCACTCAGATCATCTCACGCATTCTCTCTTTCTTAGCACAGCTCACTGCAGCACACAAACTTTACCCAGCTCTCAAGTCTCTGCCTACATGTTTCTCTCTCTGGGCAAAATAAATCTCAATACTGTATTGTTTTAACAGACCTGCACAGCAACACCCACCATGCCCCTGGGAAAGCCCAAGTCAAGATTTAACATCATGGCTAACTAAACTCAGGCTCATGCTTGTATAACTAAATACTTCCCAGCACTGCGGACGTTTGAATCGCAAAGCCAAATTCAGAGCTCTAGGCCATGTCTGCATGTTAAGTGCACTGCTGAAAAATGAACGTTGTGAAGTTTCACCAGTGCTAATGAAAGCAGACATCATGTGAATACTGTAGCCTACAGTATTCACTGAGACTGGATGTGGCACTTAGTGCCATGGTCTAGTAACCACGGTGGTAGTGGATCAAGGGTTGGACTTGATAATCTCAGAGGTCCTTTCCAACCCAGCTGACTCTATTCTATTCTATGATTCTATTCTACCACAGCTGGCTAAGTAAAAAGTCAGCATTTCTTCCTTCTAAAGCCTAGCTCTTCAATTCTCTTCAGCATTTTTCCATCCTGAAAATGCTTTTGGGAACACCGGAACAATTAAAGTTTCTCGAGGAACTGAGTTCATCAGAATTTGCCTCCAGAATCAAGATCACCAACAGAGAAATCCTGTTGCTAGTAAATAATAAGAAAAGCTTTACTGGTTTTGGTACTTAGCAACACATAGCTTGCTAACTCCAAATTGCCTGCTGACTGCAATTCCAATTACAATGATTTTTTTTTCTGAGAAAAAAACTGAGAATGGAGATGCCTTAACAGTTTGCAACATTCAAATCTGAAAAGCAACATCCCTTAAAATTCATCAACATATGACAAGTTGTGGCCAGCAACTATTCTTGTTACATGAATATAGATGTAGAAAAGTTTCATAACATTACAGCTGCTGTCCCAAAATCTACTGTCCTCACACTGCCCCTCTGCCCCTCCCCACCTTCCCTGATGCATAAAGAAGTAGAGAAGAGGGTTGCTAAGTGCTCTTCTGAAGGGTTTCTGCCTCTTAACAGGCTCATTATTTTTGGAATTTCTTCCATTTCAGCTTAGTTTGAACAGCAGTTCTTGAGACTTCTGTAACAAGTACTATGTGTACGAGTGCTCCCTCTGTTCAACAAAATCAGGAAGGGACTACAGGAGAGCTGTATGTATTGAGCAGAAATGGGTCTCTCTTTAGGGTGCTGCTCCTTCCCACACCTTCATTCGGGCTGTACCTTCTTCCACTTTCACTTACGATTTCAGGAACAGTGTCTGGTCTGTAGCATTGCTTTAGGACCCTGATGATGGGAGCAGTCACGCTGATAGGGGGACAAGGCTTTAAAGGGACTCTGTTTCACACAAGAATGCAGTCTCTAATGAAAGGTTTCTTTGCAGGCTTTCAGACTGCTTCTGTGCAGACTGAGCATCCAAAAGAAAAAGCATGAACTTACACTTCTCTTAACAGATTGACTTCAACAATTTACCGTCAGGTAGAAATAACCTTTCCCTTGTTGGCTTGTATCAGTTACAGTGTTAAAACTGAAAGACATTCTCAATATATTATTTTTGATGTAGGGTGCAACTCTGATTTCAGCCTGCAGCAACCTCTAGGAAATAAAACCAACATAAAATACAAAATAGTTACAGATGACTACTTCACCTTTTTTCTTTTGAACAAGCGTTGTCTTCCTCCTTCATCCACCAAGGAAACACTATGGTGCGCCTGAATACATGAGCTCCACAACACTTTGCTGACGTAAGGGTTGCCCCCATTTTAAAGGTACAAAAAGCTGAGGCATAGCAACTTACCCATCTGCAGCCAAGTCTGGAGTTCAGCCCAGGACTCCTGACCATGAATCCAGCGCTTGAACCCAGATGATCACCCTCAGGGTCACAGAAGAAAGGCTTACCTGCGGTTTGCTATCTGAAGAAAGGTTTGGACGCACACTCCTATAACCCTTGGCAGCCAGAGAAGATGGTTGGGAATCCCCATTGGCATCAGTGTTAGACGACGACCTCCAATCATCTATGACGGGAAAGAAAACTCAGATCACAGAAGATTCCTTCCAGCTACAGGATAAGTGAAAGGAGGGGACTCTTTTCTTCCTTTTTTTTTTTCCATTTGTTTTTCCCAGGCAACAAGAAATAATTCCAATAATGCAGCAGAAGTAACAGCATAAGCAGACAATGTTTGTACCTGTTTCCGAGTTTTCTGGCTCCAGACCTAAGCATTTCACAGAAAGGAGGGACAGAGGAGGTGGGGGTGGAGGATAGGCAGAGAGGGAAAGAAAGAGGAAAAAAATAAACCATTACATTTACAGAAAACATGTACCAATTGCAGTTAAGAGTCAAGCTACTTCATTTCACACATAAAATGCTTTCTGACAGGGCAGCCTAATTACCATAGAGACCGTCCCTAAACATGATGCCCTCCTTGTTTCTGACCTTTGTAAACACAAGGCAATTCATTCAGAGTAATGAAGAAACAATTGTTCACTGACATTCTTATTTCAGAGACAAAAAGGCAGCCCAGCTTGCTACTTTTTAAAGCTGCAGCTTGACATCCGGACACCGCGAATTACTGGAAACGTGTGGACCCTGTATTCAGCCATGATACAGATTATGAAGACATATATATCCTTATCAACATCACTATATATGATTAATTGAGATAAAGGACTGCCAACAAATAGATCAGGTTTGCAGGCTAAGTGCATGAGGGGAGTTATAAGATACGATGTCACTTTACAACGCAGTCCCTGCAGCTACATGCAGCAGTCTCATCACATATTTACCCACCTCCCACTGGGCTCCTCCCTACCCCTCATTTTGCTGTTTAAGTTATATGCAAAAAGCTTTTCCAGCTCCAAAGTACATTTCATAAAGCGATTCAGAGAGTAAGCAAAGGAAGTATTAACGAGCTGATTTCCATAGTAATGGGCTCATTGCCATTCAAGCTGTTGGAAATTTATGAAGCCATCAACAGAAAGGAGAGAGGCAACAGTGGGGGGTATGAGTGAAGAAACAGAGAATGGCAAGCATAAAAAGGGGGTAGGGTCACGGGTGGGGCAGAATGGGAGAAGACAGAGCAGAAATCTGCACATTGGGGCTGGAATTAATGGAATTGCCCTTTCACCAACAATACAGTCAGAAACGATGTATGCTTTGCTTTCAAGAGCAAGTTTTACCCCCTCCCCCTTAACGGCATCTTGCCTTTGGGAGTTCATCCTCTCTGCCAGACCAACGACACTGGCCAGGTTTGTTATGCTTTGCCTGTCTCCTAAAATTAAGTAATTACACTTCTGCTATTGAAAGATGGCAGAGCTCTGTGGCGACGCTGTCTGTCTGGGACGCTATCCCCGCTCCCCTGACAACCCAACTGAAAGCTGTGGGGGCAGTAGCACCACTCAGCTTCTTTCTGTTCCACCTCACGCCTGGGATAAAAGGAGGTGACACGGGCCAGCCAGACGAAAAAAATAATAAAAAAAAGAGAACTGAGAGATTCTGGCAGTCATGACAAACTTAAGCCAATGACTGAGTGGTCATGAAACCTGCACTAGGAAAAAAACCACAAGTCAGTCTTCCTCTACTGGTCTGGGTCTTGCAAGAGGTTTCCAACTATGCTACAGAATTTTAGGCTCTAAACTATATCTAAATAGTCACCCCAAGAGCCTGGACTGACCTGTCTTGAGGTTACTGTAAGTAACATATTCCAGTTAACCTTCCACCCACTTACTTGCAGGTTGCTCAACATCCTGAGGACATGGCGAAGCGATATTCCGATTCCCTTCATAGGCTGGAGTTGCCCGGAGGGTTACAGCTCCTTTTCCACTGCAGACTTTAGTGGGATCCGTTTCTACAGGAAATGCACATGCATAGAGGAGACACACAGAAAGGGATGATACAAAGCTATTAGGAGCCATCAGAGTTCTAGAGTAATTTTAGCATGGCTGCCTCCAAGTGAATCAATCTAGTAATGTTTGTGCAGATGAACATTAGCTCTGTATTTAAAGCATTGAGAAATCAAAGCAGTTTCATATTCATGTAATTGATGAATGTAGCATTAAGTTCTGAGTTGGAGCAACAGAGCTAAGAAAGGAGGAAAAAAGGATGAATGTTTGAACCAGATGTCACAGGTCCATTGGCTTTATTTGTTCTGCTTTGCATGGAGATACTGTGCTAGCAAGGACAGTCTACCATTACACCTGTGGCTCCTCTATAGGGGATGTCCCAGTGGTATAATGCAATATGATTTTTGTGCTGAAGCTTAAAACTGCCTTTTGTGGAGGACTGAAAGAGAAAAAAAAACTTATGACCACTGAAAGACAAAATCTTGTAGCTATGCTGAATATGATCTAAAGGCAGGGCACTGCAAGCCACCTCCTTGCTATCTCCTCATTTCATGGCAGTGTTTCATCTTCTGACACAGGAACCCAACTCTCAAAACCTAGAAGGAGATTTAACATATACCTGTTCAGATCAACCAGCGAACGAGATACCAGATCATACCAGTGTCCTTGCTGAGGCACAGTTCAGCACAGTTTCTGTGCAGGCTTACCTTTGTGCATTTCAGTCCATGGATTTGGGTTTTCTCCTCCTGTCATCCTATTAAGTAATAACAAACCAGTGCTTCAAGGTTATCTTTCTCCCCCCTACTTAAAATCTTTCTGGGAAGTTGTTTCCTTTCAGATACCTACAGGAAAAAATAAGCCTAAAGAAACTCTCACTTCTCTAAGCTACTTCCAGAGAAAAACACATCAGCTCCTCTTCTCATGCACTCTTAGTAATCTAGCAGCTGCCATCAGACTTCACTTTGACCTACCTACCTAGAGATACCTACTGTGATGCTGCACAGGGAGCATGAAGAGGTACTGAGCACATGTTGCATTACACAAGTGATAACACAATGATTTTTATTTTTATGAGGTAAGGATCATGCTACCTCTGCATGGGGAGGGATGCAGCTCCTCTCCAGACCCATATTTAGGACTCCAGAAAGGATGGAGTAAGTAAGAAATCAGAGGATACTTTACTACAATTCAGCCTCTAGTTAACTTAGGCAGCATTGATGCAGCCTCTGTAAGGGGAAAGACTATCCACACAGACATATCAAAATCCTTAAATATGACACATTTGCACTCACACCACACACCTGATCACAACCTAAGATCACCCTTCTGCTTTGTGAAATAGAAGTTGACTTCAACTCATTTTCACATGATTCAGAAAGGGTCAGGATTCTTTTTGCCCAAGGGTGCAGTTCTGGCTATCACTTCCATCTGCACTGCAAAACATGCAGCCCAAGGACTCTACAGACTCACTTTCAAATCACAGGACAAAGGTTTAAGTTCCAAGACTCCAGTTTTAAGAGTGCTGGAACTCTAAG